TGTATATGTGGCGTTACCTGCACGCTGTGAAAAGTATTGCTATGTAAATAAATGTCTCAAATCGTCCACTTTGTGTTTTCTCATAAAATGCACAATGTTTTGCAAACCGTACAGCAAAGAAAGTAAAAAATAAAATAATAAAGGATAAAAAATGTTTGAGATTCCGGCGATATTTCTATGTAGCCCCTCTCCATGTTTGCAATAGACAAAGTATTAAGGGTAGTATTAAAGGGAATAAACTGACGACAAACAGACAGGAACATACACGCTATTTATCAAACTACGTGTGTAAAATCTTACCCTTGAATCATTTTCAGCGCAACCTCCATTCTCAGTGTTTTGCTCCATCCTTTGTACACCAATCCAAAACCTCCTTGTCCAATCAGATTTAAATTCTCCAAGTCTTCCTTGGGGAGAAGCAGCATCTCTTTACACTGTCTGCAGACACTGACACACTGTAACACTCTACACACAGTCTGCAGACACTGACACACTGTAACACTCTACACACAGTCTGCAGACACTGACACACTGTAACACTCTACACACTGTCTGCAGACACTGACACACTGTAACACTCTACACACAGTCTGCAGACACTGACACACTGTAACACTCTACACACAGTCTGCAGACACTGACACACTGTAACACTCTACACACAGTCTGCAGACACTGACACACTGTAACACTCTACACACAGTCTGCAGACACTGACACACTGTAACACTCTACACACAGTCTGCAGACACTGACACACTGTAACACTCTACACACAGTCTGCAATAATCGACACACTCTAACACTCTCCCAGAGGCTGGGATATGAATGGCTCTGGCAGTTTGAGGGCAGGGCTGATAGGCTGAGTTAGGAAACCCCTGTGTTACATCACAGCAAACATTACAATAGACATTCTGTGAAAAACCCAGAGCACTAAACACCGCATCACTGCTTCCTCTCTTTAATTAGAAATTTGGTTTATTTACCAAACACTGCATCACTGCTTATTCTGTTTAATTATACATATATTTCATTTACTGAGCTGAGAGCTCACAACTCTCAACTGCCTATTATTATATTTGATACCCTACTTACCTCAACATATGAGGAAAGGGATTTAGGGGTAATTATTTCAGATTACTTAAAGGTAGGCAGACAAGAAAATGGAGAAGCATTTTTATTTTAAAATACATAAAGGGAATCAACACAGTAAAGGAGGAGACTATATTAAAAAATAATAAAAACTACCACAACAAGAGGACATAGTCTTAAATTAGAGGGACAAAGGTTTAAAAATAATATCAGGAAGTATTACTTTACTGAGAGGGTAGTGGATGCATGGAATAGCCTTCCAGCTGAAGTGGTAGAGGTTAACACAGTAAAGGAGTTTAAGCATGCGTGGGATAGGCATAAGGCTATCCTAACTATAAGATAAGGCTAGGGACTAATGAAAGTATTTAGAAAATTGGGCAGACTAGATGGGCCGAATGGTTCTTATCTGCCGTCACATTCTATGTTTCTATTTAGGGCTTTATCCACTAAACAGGGAGGGGGTGCTGACATGGGAATTGTTAAAAGAGATGGCATTATAGCGAATAATGGGCAG